GCAGTTCCTACGATCTCCAATATCATCTAGCTTTAGGTTTGCAGGCAAAAACATAAATATTAACTATTGATTTTCAATAAGCATCAATTTCATAATCCAATTGCACAATTACTCTCTGATCATTCTTTACTTGATCCATTATGAGACCCATCTATTTTTCTTGAATATTAATAACCAAACTACATTGACTCCCTCCACAAAATTTGCTCCCTTAGGCCGAAATTTTCTGTTTTGGAGTTCAAGTATGGTGGTAGACTTCTTAGTTGGTGCCATTTAGGCTAATATCTGGGATGAGTTTTCTTGCACATTTGGATGCTTCTCATCTCATTATTGATACAAACAAGGTGTTAGATAAATGTCTTGGCCAATCAGATTGGACAATCAAACAGGATGTTCTTGGCCCTGGTGGGATCATAGAGTCATCGGTCCTGGTGCCATCTTTAAAAGGCAGCTGGAAGCGACTTCCATCACTGCAAACCAGGAACTTCCACTCAACCTGTAGTGGTCTCCCTCAACTGCAGTGAAACATAAGCTGGCTCCATATTTCAGTGGTGTATTATTATGGGTATTACTGGACTGAGGAAGGGACAAAAGAGATGGCACAAGAAGGCCATGACACAAACCCATCTTGTCAGACAGAGATAGTAGCATGGGTCAGTACCAATGTCCCTTATAAATGTGTCCCACATAATAATGCAAAAAAAATGGTCTTTTGCACTCTATGAGGACACCTGGCACTCTTTTCTCTCAATAGCTCATGCTGACAGGGCCATCACTCAGTCTAACTCTGTCACTGCACACGCAGCTCACAAAGTGCTACTGCTTGCAAGCCACAGCTTCACATGCACATTGTCTACACTGGGCTCATACCCACCTCATCTTCTCAAGTTACCTACCCTTCCTTGGCACCATGCTTCCTGCTACCTTACTGGGCACTGCCCACCACCTCAGCATGTAATACATGCTCACAAAGAGCTCCTGCACTCTTTCCCATCACACTCAGTGTTTCTCTTTATCTCAATGCAATTGAAGTCTACTCACAATCATGGGAGAGGGCCAAAACCTGTGGAAGAACATATGTTGAGGAAAGGGCAATCGAGCTGGACAGGGAAGACCAGGATCACCAGGAGCACTCCTGTGGTGATGGGTAGATTGGAGTAGCCGAGGAACTATTTTGTGGACTACGGTTCTCGGGTGAGCGCAGCTAAGACATTTGTTTGCACCCCTGTGCGCTGCCACCATCACCTCTGGGAACCCTCAGAGAAAGAACTGGCAAGGCGTTCACCACCAGCCTCTGCATCTACAGAGACCCCAGAGGACAGCCGATAAAGTCTTCAATGTCACCAGTCAGCAAGCTCCCTCCAGCCCATCCACCAGTGACTGGTGGGACCACACTTAGATGTAAGAGGAAGGAGAGGAAAATAAAACCTTCTGAAAGTGCATCACTGGCACTGGTCCTCAATAATTGTGTATAATCTACACTTCTATAAATATACATTCACTGCCATTGTATTTTATTATGCCAGGAGGAACTGAGAAAGTTCTTGGAAGGATGTGGAGCATCTTGTCCCAGCTAAAGAACATGCAACTTCCCACTCTTAGAATCTTTCCCATTGCCAGCAAAGTGGGAGATGCACGATTATCTCAGCCATCAGGGAATCATAGCCCTATATGTTGGGGACTGTAGATTCTACAGGTTCCTCTTGGGGACACTGATGTTAATGATAATGTCTACGGGGGGAGTCAGGGTAAAGGATGTCCAGTTGGTGAACACTGTACTTAACCTTTATTGGAGTGATGGCAAAATTTTTCGTCTGTCTACAGGCTCCAAGAAGGAAAACTATGTCCCATGTCTGTGGTTCACAAAGTCATTCTAGAAAGTCGAAGGGTGTGACATGGGCTATGGGCACATCACTTGTCAATGTCTCATGATGGAGATATTGAATGGAGGGAACAGACCCGCATTTTGTAGCTCACAGGATGTTCAGGCATTACAAGTGCACAGTGAAGGCTCATTACGTTCTGCAGCAATGCATGGATAAGGAGGGTGTCATCAAAGTTAGAAATGCAAGTCCCATGAAGGGTCAAAAGAACAGCTTCAGAGTTGGTCGAAAGCAGTGGACTTTGTATGGACAGGTTATTGGACCCTGGCTAAAGTAGCTATCAGTAGGCATAGGCAGTGAGCCGTAGATGGGTGAGGTCGTGATTCCCAACTGCCTGACTCTCTTACACAGTTACGTCAGTGCCCTGGCATTCTTAGAGAGGCAGCAGAGGTATACAGTGGTACTCCTTGAAGCTTTTCTGGGTAGGAGTATGCCACAGGGACTGAGCTACATTATCTCCCCTGCAGCATAATTTTGATTTTGTCCTTTTTAGTTTTCCCTTTTGGTTTTTCATTTTCACTTACCATTACAGCACTCCTGGTGGTCATTATTTTTTATTTGTTCATGTGGTGACTGGATTCATTTTTTAAAAAAAAGGAGGTGGGTACTTGGGCTGTGGTTAAAGCCGTCAATAGGTCAAGGCAGCAATCACAGTGAGCAAAGCAAAGGAGCCGGTCATTGACTTCAGGAAGTTGAGTGGAGGATGTGCCCCATCTGTCTCAATGGTGCTGAGATAGAGATGGTCGAGGGCTTCAAGTTCCTCAGAATAAATATCACCAACTATCTATCTTGGTCCATCCATTTTGACACTACAGTGAAGAAAGTACATCAACGCCTCTATCTACTCAGAAGGCTCTTAACAATTTTTATAGATGCACCATAGAAAGCATCCTATCCAGATGCATCACAGCTTGGAATGGCAACTGTTCTGCCTAAGACCACAAGAAATTACAGAGAGTCATGAACACAGCCCAGTCCATCACATAAACCAGCCTTCCATCCATTGACTTCATCTATACTTCCTGCTGCCTCGGGAAAGCAGCCAACACAATCAAAGACTCCTCCCACCCCAGTTATACTCTCTTCCACCCTCTTCCATCAGGCAGAAGATACAAAAGTTTGAAAACGTGTACCAACAGAATCAAGAACAGCTTCTTCCCATCTGTTTTCAGATTTTTGAATGGACCTCTCATATAAAAGTTGATCTTTCTCTGCACCTTCTTTGTTGCTGTAACACTGTATTATGCATTCTGTTCTATTACTCTGATGTACTAGTGAAAGTTATGATTTGCTTGGAGAGCACACAAAACAATTTTTTTTACTGTATCCCTGTACAGGACAATAATAAATCAAACAAAGCAAATCAGCAGGCAGTGGAGAGTTTGTTATTCCTGACTGCATGCCTCTCTTCACTCTTCCATCTGAACCCTGTGGCTTTTTGGGAGAGGTGGGCTCCTCAGGGGGCTAGGGTGCATTATTTACATCTCCCACAATATTTTGATTTAATTTTCCTTAATTTCACTCATTTTCAATTTTTGCACTTTTACTTAAGTTACAGAGGCCTTGGTGAATAGCTTTGCTTTGTCTGTTATCTGGTTTTCTTAAACAGAAGAATTGGGTCCTTCCCCATTGGAGGCTTAAGTTCTGGACAGGGAAAGAGTCCTTAGAGGAAAAGTGGAACCTGGTGTTTGTGCTAAACTATAGATTAACAATAAACCCAACGTAAATCTCTGAATATCTTTTACTGTCTAAAAGGCATATAAGGAGCAGGCCCAGGATGTGGAACAGCTCGTAGTGTTCACCTGGCTGTGGAATTTCTAATGTCATTAAAATGTCTTTGACACAAGGGTCATTTTTGTGCAACCATCCAGGAGTACATTGTCATGGAAGTGTTCAATGTACCATTGCTGCTTTATTGCTAACTTTGGTCTCAGGCAAGGTTTGCATAAATAATTTAGCTTTCAGAGGGGTGAGGACCTCAGAACCAAAGTTGAAGGTAAAAGTCAACATTTTAGGATACGGATAAAATCAAACAGGAATGCAGCTCCATCCTTGAGGAACGTTGCCATTGGTCTGACAGCTAACTGAGCAAATGAGAACATAATGTGTACAGAAGATGGCCATGGCCAGCCCAGTCACACTGGAAGCAGATGGCTATAAGATTGTCTCTATCCTCTCTGGCTGGCTCAATGGACCAATACCTTGTATTTGTCTCTTGGATAGTTATTATAGCCCACCTCAGGATCCACACCCACATCTTCCTCCTCAGAAGGTTCTTTTCTCCTAACAGATCCTCACCCTACCGGCTGAGATTATTGGGGAAATAGCACACTACTATAATGTGGGACACCCTGTCTGGGGTACTTTGCATGGCACCACCTGAATGATCTAGGTATCAGGGTTT